TTGACTTTTCATTCACCCATGTCAAGACCATAAACTTGTTATCTATGCTAAGCATCTCTAGTCCTCAAAATCATGTACTGCAATGGATAGGACTTCATGAATTTTATGCATGAGTTTCTCAGACGGTAACTGAGAATTCCCCGGTACTCGAGAATTCCAACACAGTGGCCTCGCAGCAAAGCCTGCACGTCGTCCTACCATATAGCCTGTCATGCACTTCAATGTAGCCGGGGATTTTTCCTCTCATCACTTAAGTAGTAGACAAAGCTTACAAACATGGAAGACTTTGTAAAGTCGAACTATATCCAAAACCGCCGCTCACTGATGGAAGATTCAGTAAGATCATTAGCTCTAACCTGACAGTTTTCTCTCTCGATGCTAGGGTGGCTAGGGTTGGTTGCCTCAAAAACACTGGCACCTTGTTTAAACTGTATCTTGCTACGACTGAGAGAAACATCAGTATCAATGAAAGCCCCTGTTGCAATACGTCTGGCTACAAAGACAGATTATGAGATTCAAGTCTATACAAATGACATCAATCGTGCCAATGATCAACAACATTCACTGTTTTCGTTACGTTTTCATTGGCAAGAGCCAGCCTTTCACAGAATCGTCTTCTTCCCCATTGCCTTTCACTACCTCACGTCTATAGTTAAAGCAGTGTGGACAGCTGCACCTCCACACGAGCTTCTGGCGGGTGAACAGCGATCTCTTATTTTTGTGACTTATTTTTGTGCGGAGTATTTTACAGGAAAAGAGTCCCTTACATGGACAGAATACCCACTCCAACTTCCCCACTCGGGAGATCCGAGAATTACAAACTGCACATTAAAAGCATCTGTAACAAGGTAATTTCCCCGGTACTCGAGAACGCTGGCAGAAGTCTCGGGCACACGCGCGAGCTCGCGGGCACTAGGTCGTTACGCGCGGAGCTGCAGCTCGGGCCGGGCTCACCGACAGGGCTACGGGGACAGCGGGTCGCGGCAGGACAGATCGGGGCCCCACTCGCCCTGCGCGGCGATCTCAGGGGTGCGGAGGCCCCCGCCGCGGGCCGGGCCGGGGGACCTGCCACGCGATCCTCCCACGCC